ATATTTTTCTTACCACAATGGTATTGGTCTAAAATGATTGGAATTTCATCAGGGCTTGGCGTTTTAGTTACATTCTGACAAATGACAATTTTGATACTTTCGTCGGAAAATATGAAAGAAAATATTTCTTGGATTGGCAGATCTAGGTTATTTTCGACGTAGATTTGTTGGGACAAATCGAATATACCTTTGTTATTTAAAATAAGGGTGAAGAGATGTTGTATGCAAGTCGCAGGATCGTACGGCACGGGAATTATATAATATTTCCTATCTTTGACAGTCTGACTAGAAGCGATGTTAGTTTTGTCTGCAGAAAATTCGAGATTGGTTTCGAATATGTCTTCGATGATTTTTTCATGAAGATCAGAAAGGATATTTTGTCTGAAAAATGTGACTATGTGTCTGTGGCTTTTGTCTAGAAGTTGGGAGTTAGAAAAGTGAATTTTGGAATAGTCTATTAAAGAGGTGGTTTTATAAAGGCGGGCAAATACATCAAAGTTATTTTCAAAAAATTGAGTAGAAAGAGAACCTTCTTCATCACTAGGGTTAAGGGCGTTAACATTCGTAGGTAGTTTAATGCGGGATAGGGCATCGGCATTCTTGTTGGTTTTGCCTGGCTTGTAGACTATTTCATAGTCGTATTCCTCTAACTTGAGGCGCCATCTTGCTAACCTACTACCGGTATCACGGCAAGAAAAAAGCCAAGTTAATGGTCGGTGATCTGTGACCAATTTAAATTTTCGATCGTACAAATAGGGTCTAAAATGTTTTACACTCCAAACAATAGCTAGGAGTTCTCTTTCAATTGTAGAATACCTCGTCTCTACTTTGCACAGTGTACGAGATGCATAGGCTATCGGAAGATCTTTACCAATAGGTCCTTGCGAAAGTACGCCGGATATTGCAAAAGCACTTGCATCCGTAGTAAGCACAAACGGTTCTTCGAAGTTGGGGTAGATCAGTACAGGAGATGTTGTTAAAGCATTTTTCAAGGTATCGAATGACTTAACACACTCGCTGTCGAAATCGAAGACTGCATCTTTTTGCAATAGTCTGGTCAAGGGTTTCGCAACTTTAGCAAAGTTTGGGATAAAGCGTCGGTAGTAACCGGCAAGACCTAAGAATGATTTTATTTCTTTAGGACTTTTGGGTTGTAGGAAGATTTTTATACAATCCACTTTATCTGGATTGGGATTAACGCCATCAGGGGTTATTACATGACCAAGATAGGCTACTTCCTTTCTGAGGAATTCACACTTATCTGGCTGAATCTTAAAATTCGAGTTTCGGAGACGCTTAAAAATTTCGGAAAGTCTGGTGATATGTTCTTGGATGGAAGGAGAATAGACAATGATATGATCATGTATATAAGACATCTTTCGTTTTGTATACCCATCAAGATGTTGTCCATAACACGTTGGAATGTGACAGGAGCGTTCTTGAGACCAAAAGGCATTCTCAAGAATTGATAGTGTCCGTTCCCAACCGAAAAAGCGGTTTTGGCAACATCGGCTGGATTAATTTCAATTTGGTGAAATCCAGATACCAAATCCAGTGTACTGAAGTACTGGCATTTCCCTAATTGATCTAGCAGATCGGAAATGTTTGGCAACGGGTATTTGTCGTCAATGGTGATTTCGTTGAGTTTACGATAATCGATCACCATACGCCATTTTTGTTTGCCTGAAGCGTCCATTTTCTTTGGGACTACCCAGGCAGGGGAATTCCAAGGTGAACTCGAGGGTTCAATGATCCCTTGTTTTAACAGTTTGGAAATTTGGTCTTTCACTTCTTGTTTATGGACATGAGGCTAGCGATAAGACTTAGTAAAAATTGGTTTGTTGTTTGTAGTGTCAATGGAAAGTTTAATTTCGTTGGTGAATGACAAACTGTCACCATCTAAATAGAAAATGTCGGAAAATTCTAGACAAAGATTGGTAATAAGTTCTTTCTCTTCATCGTTAAGATGTTCAAGACGTAATTGATCTCGAATAGCATCTCTACGGTTATACTGACTCTTGTCCTTCAGGGATATGTTAAAATTGTTGACAGACGTTTCCTTAAAGGGTTCAAATTCTAATTTGGGCAGAATCACATTTTTAGGAATGGCATTACAGTTCAAGACTGTAGTGAGAAATTCGCCGTTAGAATTGATTTTGACGATGGAGCTGGGTAGACGGACTTTTTCTACCTCGCATGCCAGAAGAATTGCTTCGGTATTTTTAAGCTCTGACTTAAGCTTGACAACCTGTTCAACTCTAGGAGGGACTGAGATGAGATTTTGAACTTGGGAATTCTCTTTGAAATTAGAAGTTTGGAGATTTTCTTTGAACTCAGAAGTTTGGGTATTTTCTTGATCGCCTACTTTGAAGAGAGGGATGGTTTTGAATTTTGTGATTAATTGCCGATTTTTCAAATCGATAATGCAATCGTAGTGCTCGAGGAAATCTGAACCAAGAAGGCCATCGAAAGCAATGTCTAAATCGTGAATATAAATTTTGTAGTAATCGTTGGGAGCAAAGGGAACTAAAACTGCTTCTGTGATAAAAAATTTTTCGTCCGTAATACCTCGGATGGAGATTTTTTCGGCAACACGTTTCGTGTAATTTTGGCAGGTGTTTCGCTTGTAAATGGAACAACCGGCACCACTGTCAATAAGGATTTTGAATTTTCCTGTCGCGTCGTTGATGTAGTATAAGTTGTTTGGGCTGACGGAGAGAATTGTCGACGGGACTATAATATGTTTATCTAAACGAAAATTTGGTCGGGAGTTGACGTTGTGTGAGGGTCTTTGACATTGAGCTTTTGCAAGCTCGCAATCATATGATCGGAATCGTCGTTGGGCTTCACAGGCGGTTCTTCTTTCGGAGAACGTTCCCGAAAATCCTGATCGTTATTGCTACCAGGGGTCAGCGAATTCGTCATACTGCGAGGGGGTGTAAGCAGGGTATTGGGTTTCTGTACCATATTCGCTGGCAAAATTTGTATTGTAAAGGTCGGGTTCGGGGTACTCGGAATATTCGTAGCAATCTGGGGCTAAGTAGTTGATTCGGTTTGTGGGATTGCTTGGTCGGAAGCTTCTTTGGAAGTTAGGGTTTTGGAAGCTCGGATTCTGTTGTATAACAGAAGGTCTTGGTATATTCGTATTAGGAACATTTGGCCTAATAACAGAGGGTCTGTGATGGTACTCATTGGAACTGGAGGGGGGCCTATTGTTTTGTGTTGGAGGGTTAGGGTTAGTTCGAGGCGAAAATGATTGGGGCTGGAAAACTGGTCTCGGAATATTATGTGAGAGCTGTTGTCTTCGCTGGCACTCATTTGCTAAATGGCCTGGTCGGTGGCAGAAATTGCACACTCTCGGACCTGGTTTTTTAATGGAAGAATTTTGATTAGAGTTAGGAGCTCTAGAAAATTGTTGTCTTTCAAGATATGATAATTGTAGTTCGCGCTTGATAAAAGCGACTGCAGTAAGGATATCTGTTGGGTGACCTGATCTTACAATCGGGCCAATTTTGGAATCTAGTCCTGTAAGGAGACAGTTTAGAGTCATGGTCACTATCAATAAACTTTTAGCAGCTTTTTGCTCTCGGTTAATGTTTTGTCGATTGACGGCTGAATGCATCTTCGCCGCGTGAGTTTGAAGCTTGATGCAAAGGTTAGTGGGGATTCATTTGGTAGTTGACGCATATGCTGCACATCAGCAATTAAGGATGTGAGATCTCGAAGATCTCCGAAATGTGTTTCAAGGAGAGAGCGTTCCTCGACAGCCATTTGGTGCGCTGTTCTACAGGCGTTGATAAAAGTCGAAAGCAATATCGGGTTGCCATCGTATTCAGGGACGATTGAAAATATTTCGGACAGTCTATAAGGCTCGATGTTTGCATGAGCGTTATGAAGAACTTCAGGTGCTTGGTAATCATCTGATCCGTGCTCTGACATGGTGATTGGAAATATGTTTCAGGAATTCGACAATAGTACGCAAAATATACGAATAAATATGGGAAAATACGTAAAAGTTATAGAAAATACGTAAAAGGTCGTAAATAAATGTGAAAGATATAGAAAATAATGCGCAAAATATGAAAATCACTCAATAAATTCGCAAAATTATAGAAATACAGAGATAATTGCAAACGATAGTAGATTCAATTGTTCGTTACCAGTGGTACATTAGGAGGCAGTCGTGTTCCCCAGAGGAGGCTCTCGGATCTCTTTCGATGTTTCCAAGTAGACTCTCTGCAGTTGGGTGGCTGCTGCTCGCTGTGCCCTTTTCTTTCTTCTTTTGCTTCTTCTTTGTCGTTTTCTTTCTTCTTATTTCTTCTTCTTACTTGTAGGCTCGTGGTCCTTTGTAGCTCGAAGGATAGACATCCACCGCACTAGTCAGCGTTCGCGTGTTCTAATGCGTTGAAGCTATCCCACTTCTCTGACACCAATTATTACATCATTTAAATTCAACTTTACTTTTTAAAAAATTTATTTGAGGACAGTAACTACTGTCCGTTACAAACGTTTACAATTACTTGACTTGACGGCGTCTAACCGGGTATTCAACAACATGAAATGGGCGCAAGGCCTATTTATACTATTGGTGTGCTTACAAAGCACTTCTAGAAAATAAAGCGTAAACAACGAGTTAGCCAGAAGCCGTTATCTGTTGCTCAGCTAGCGTCTTGTGCAACATTGTATGGAATAGTAAGTCCATTGTTTTGAGTGCATATAACATATATGTATATATATATATAACTTGAAAAGTTGTGGTAGGCTTACGGATGACCAGCTCTACATATAGTTTTTATAATTTGGCATGTACCTACGTAAGTTTCATTTGTTTCAGAAACGAACCAACAAGGTCAAGACAAGCCAAAAAGACACCGAACCTCATACACTAGCCAGCAACTCCTGGCGCTAGAAAAGGAGTTCGGTTTGAACACCTACATCAGCAGAAATCGGAGAACACAGCTATCCGACTCGCTGAATCTAACTGAAAAACAAATAAAAGTATGGTTTCAGAACCGGAGAATGAAATTCAAGTACACTATGGTGCAAAACCCCAATCTCAAAGGCAGGTTAAAATTGAGAGTGAAGGCAGCATCGGTGAAATCTGAAGATTCTCAACTTGTCAGCAGGTTGTTGAAGCATTCCACCTGGATGAAAAGGCAGAGTAATGGAAACTTAGCTGTTCTGGTTAATGATTATGGTAACTGCTTGGTCCTATCATAGCTCAAGAGCTGCACACCCCCCGGGGAATAAGGAAAAGTTAGATTTTTTCTAGAGGTGATTCATAGCGTGTTAAATTTCAGTAACGGCAACCTGGCAGGTTGCTGGATGCAACCGTTGATTCACTTATGAAATTTTTGAGATTATAAATAACTGGAAAAAGGAACTAAAAGTTTACAGTTCAAAATTATAATATGATTTTAGTCCGTACATTGCTGTACCTGCTGCGGCACTCTGAAGCGAGTCGAAAGGGGTGCAGTTTATAGGTGCAAAAATTCAAAGGGCGATTATTTAGGTAATTCAAGTTGATAGCTAAAATACCGCTTTGTTTCAGAGATTCAGGTTCCTAAATGACGCTACTCGCGGTCGATATCTGAATAAATGAAATTGTGACAGTATAGTAACTAGTTTAGGCCTTACCTGATGGTCTCCATGGGAAAAAGTTAACTAATTTGGTTTTATTTAGCTTCCATACCGTGGGGTCCTAAGAAATAATAAATAGGCTTGAATCGATCAATAAAGCACCCCTTGAACGTTTGTCCTATGTATTGGAAACAGCCTGTAAGGAATACACAGGCTTCGATCATCTGGAACGTATTTAGCTTCATTCTAATCACCTTCAAATTATAATTTATGCCTTACTTCCACTAAATCATATTGAAATTTCAAGCTTCGAATTAATTTTTCATTGTTTTTACAATTTCGGAAATATTAAAACGAAGGCAACGGCTGAGACATGCCAGTTTGCTGTCATCATGAACCATGTTCAAGAAAATATATAGGTTTTAACACAACCGTTTTTCAACGTGCAGCCGCATACTTTAACGACAGCGCGTGATATGATATAGCATGTTCATCGTTGGAAGTTAAATATTCGTTTATTGTATGAGGCGTCTTGTTAATGTATAATTTAATTGTACTATAAGGGTGCATCAGATGGATACGGATGGATTGCTAGACGACTCTCTAAAATCAACACTGAATCTTTGAGCGACTTCCTTTGACCTTGAGAGCGCGACATATGGAGCGAGACACTACCATAAGTGATGCGTAACCACGTATCCATTTGAATGCATCCAAAGCTATGCTTTAAAAACACTGTTAATCGCTGCGGTTGTCCAGTTTGGGATTAGTGTTACTGTTTATACTATTATATCATTCAACTTGCTGTTATAGCCAAAATTGAATCACAGACGGTGACTATCGACAGTCTTAATTTTGAAAACAGCCATCTTATATATATATATATTCACTTGTTTTTCTCATTACTTGAAACTCTGATTAATTTCAGCTATTAACGGCGATCCATCCCTGAACTACAAATTTAGCTTGTATTGTACTACGTACCAATAAAATAATATTTTAGTGTATATGCTGTATATGTATTCAACTTGTTTATTTTCTTCAATAAAATAATTTAAGGCATGAAAAAGTGATTATCGTTAATGACAATGATCCCCGAAAGAGAGAGAGAGAGGGAAATCTTCGTTGTAAGCTGTAAAAACAATGGGAAAATAGTATGTGCAAAAATTAGATGTTTCCTATAGTAACATGAAATTTGGTGAAGAGAACTAAATGGATGGCTGCTGTGAAGAGAAAAGTGTAAGCAATATAACCATGTTACATCAGTTAATATAGTTTATTTTTATTGTACTGTGTACAAAAAGTACAACCCTTGTTTTTGCCAAGCGCTGTTCTGCGTTATGGTATATTGTATCAAGGCAGCAACATGTTTGCACCTTGGTATTTTTTTTTTAGTGTTAGTGTTGCTAGTGTTGTAGTGGCTGTTGAAGTGAAAATTCCAAAAATGCGTGTTTTTCCGTCAAGGGTAAATAAGCGCAGTCCGTATAAAAATAGTATCGAAATAAGATTGCGCAAAGCGCCATCTATCACCAGAATCGACCACTGCGGGTGCGCATATCTGCTATTAGTTGGAGCTGCTAAATATCTCAGTTCACGATTAATAGCCCAGACACCACGTGGCCACTAGATAGCTGACGATTCTGACTATAAAGTAGATGTGGACTACTTGGTATTGAATAAACTAAACGTGACGCTTTCGTTCGTCCGACCACATCTACTTTATAGCCAGAATCGTCAGCCACCGGTCATGAGTTAACAGGGCCATTAAATATGAACTGGGATTGTTAGCAGTTCCAACTAATAATAGATATGCGCTCCCGCAGCGGTCGATTCTGCTGATAGATGGTGCTATGCGCTGCGTCATTTCGATAGAGCGTATCTCTTGGATAGAGGAATGTTGCGGTGCTTTCGTTCGTTGTCGCAAAGACGAGATACCAATCCTAAACCATGCTAATGAGTAGCAAAGAAGAACGGTACGGCTCTCCATGGTTGGCTTACCTTTGGTCGGACGGACCAAAGCATCATGTTTAGCTTAAAAATAGTATCGCAGGACCAGAATCCATTCCAGCAGGTGAATAAATGAGTTGTTCCTTCGTTTTCACTTCCAACTCCAATTAGCGAGGAAGTATTGTAAATTGGGATATTGCTTTTGGACGTTACATGGTATTGTGAACCACAAAAGCCATGAAAATCGTTTTCGTCAGTCTGTAGTCCTTGGGCCTTCTATAACACACAAACTGCTCCGCACAGGTATTATGTATCTTGAGATATCGGTTTTTTGACATTATACCTATAGTTTTGGCACTAGCTAATATACACTTGTGAACTTGTTTTGTAGCTGTATGAATTGCCTAAACGTCATGATGCTTCAGCAATCAACATTTCGCTCTGATGTGATGTAACCTCTGCTTCAGCATCAGGAGGTCTAAGATGTAAGTTGTATACTATAGCTGGAAGGAAGCGCCAGTGCATAGGTGCATAGTGAGGATTTGTGTGCTAATAATCTGTGTTGATGATAATTCCATTGGTTTCTTGTCTCAAATACACTTACTTGAGATGTATTCAAAGCTATAAATTAGTTGCGAATCCACTTTTTCTTACTCGTTCTGGAAATTACAAATTTTCTGAACTTCAAAGATGAAGTATGTTGCAAGTCATAGGTGAGAAAATATGCTAAAATATCGATCTCGACCCTTAGGAAATGGGTGTCTCCAATGAAATGTATCTCGAAAAATTACTCATATATTTAGACAATAAAAAACCAGATAATTAGAAAATCTATTAAGACAATTTATGGGCCAGTTCAAATTCACTGGGCAAACTTCTAAAGGGGTAGCAGTAAAAACAAGATTTTTGAAAAATCGACTTCAATCCTTATGCAATGGGTGTTCTCTATAAAATGCATCTCGAAAAATTGTTTATATATTAAGACAATTTATTCGTCAGTGCAAATAAGTAGCCAAAAACTAGATACACAAAAAATTGATTTCAACCATTAGGAAATGTCGAAAATTTACTTATGTATTAACACAATTTATGGGATCGTTCAAATTTACTGGGGAAACTTCTAAAGAGGTAGCAGCCAAAAACCAGGTAATTAAGAAATCCACTTAAACCCTTAGGGATTTGTCCTCGATGAAATGTATCTCCAAAAGGTACTCATATGTTAAGATAATTTAAGGGTCACATCAAATTTACCGAGCAAATTTCTAAAGTGGTAGCAGCAAAAAACCAGATAACTACAAAATTGATTTCAACTCTTGCGGAATGACCGTTCTCGTTGAAATGTATGTTGAAAAATTATTCATATATTAAGACAATTTATGGGGAGTCCAAATTTACTGAGATGTAGCCGCAAAAACTATATATTTGGAGAGTCGATTTTAACCCCTAGAGAATGGATGTTCTCGATAAGATGCACCTCAAAAAATTATTCATATATTAAGACAATTTATAGGACAGACCGGATTTATTGAGCGAACTTCTAAAGGAGTAGAAGCCGAAAACCAGATAATTGAAATATCGATTTCAACCCTAAAGGAATGGGTGTCCACGACGAAATGTATCTCGGAAAATTATTCATATGCTAAGACAATTTATCGGCCAGTTCTAATTTACTGAGCAAACTCCTAAAGGGGTAGCAGCCAAAAACAAGATAACTAGATAATCGATGTCAGCCCTTACGGAATGGGTGTCCTCGATGAAATGTATCTTGAGATGTTATTCATACATTAAGACAACTTATGGGATAGTTCAAATTTACTGATCTAACATCTAAAGGAGTAGCAATAAAAACCAGATATTTAAAATATCGATTTTAACCCTTAGGAAATGGGTGTCCTCGATTAAATGTATCTCGAAAAATTATCCATATATCAAGACAATTTATGGGATAGATCAAATTAACTGAGCGGCGGGTATCATGTAAAAAAACCTACAAAACTTCAAAAAAAACCTACATAAGTCAACTTTGCATACTAGATAGTTTTTAGGGTGCAAACAGTCGTTCCACGTTTGCTCACCAGGATCGTTGTAAGGCGATCCATCTATGAACGGATATCTGAACGATACGAGATACTTTTCTCTAACCAAATATGCATTATTTTGCATGACTGATTGCAGTGATAGTTCTTAGTTCATAGTGTGGTTCATTAACCTCAATGTGTACGTACGTTTAAAATCGAGTTTGGCTGAGTAGCAAGACCGTATCTGGATGATTATATTGGTCTGCATGTGTATAAAAAAGTGATATTTGATAAGTTGAGAACATTATTACCGACTATGCTTCTAATGAAGTATATGTATTAGCTGTGCCATACGAGTTATTTATGTTGTTCTTTCTGAAGAGAGGTTATGTTCAAAGTTATGATTGTGTTTTCAAAAACTTTGAGAAGAACAGTGAATATAATTGCAATGTGTGAGTATAAAATATAAGATTCGACTTAGTTAATTCTCATCTGCAGTGATTGAATTAATTCATCTTTTGTATGTTACTCAAATTAGCATTTCGTTGAACTCAAATTCTAGTGGTCAGTATCCAACTATTGTATCAATGGAAGGAAACATTACCAGTGCATAAAGAATCCAGCACAGTTTCTGAAACTGTGGATGCCACTATTGTCTCACTTATTATTAAAACCATATATTATGATTGTTTGAAGATTGTCTATATTCTCATACATAACAATGTAGACAGTACATTATTTAAATAGATTTAGCTCTAATTTTGGTAGTTCTATTGAGAAAGAATGAAAATAAAATCATAACGCAGTTTTAATAGACCTCATTGATAAACAAAGAGTAAATGGGAGCATACTCGAATTAGAAATAGATACAGCACTGGTATTTCAGTCAGAGATACTAAAAATCAAATGTTATATTGTAAAAGTATTAGTACAATTAAATAACGATATAGTTGTAACTGCAAATTTGCTGGCTGAACATGAAGTCACTAAAATAACCCCACTTTATAAATCACTCTTTAATGCTTACATAATATTTGAATGGTCCATTTGCAAAGTAGTAACATTTAAGGCCGCTGCACAATTGCCCGGTAACGGGAACGAGAACGCAAACGGAAACGAGAACGGGAACGAGAGACTTCGGCAGATGCACAATTAACGGGAGCACATCGGAAGCAGTTGACAACTATGACAGAATTTTTGTACCTAACCTTACTTTATGCAATTTTGACAGTTCCTCGCTGCTCGTAAACAGTTGTGGTAAAAAATAGTTGATTTTTTTATTTTTAGACTATTTATCCAAAAAAAAAAAATGGATTTTGACGAACAGTTTCTCTTTCTGTCCTTTCTTTTTTTGGAATGTGTCTTTTTGTATCTAATGACACAAGAAAATAGAAGGTAGGCCAAATTTGAAAAAACAATGAATCACATACTAATTGGAATTTGTATATTTTATAGATGGTGGGTCAGACCAATATTCAGAGAAAGGAATGAGAAAGGGGCTTTTCGAAATATTTTTACCCATATGAAAACAAAGGATCCTGAAATGTTTTTTAAGTATACAAGAATGCTACCAGATCAGTTTGACAGTATCCTGTGTCTCCTTAAGCCAAAACTACTAAAACATAGTAGGAGAGAATATTTAAGCCCTGCATTAAAGTTGGCTATGACTTTGAAGTTTCTGGCTCATGGAGGATCATTTCAAAGTTTGTCATGGGAATTCCGCGTTGGACATTCAACTGTTTCAAAAGTGATCTTTGAAACATGCACCGCAATTTGGGATACAATGCAACCTATTTACTTGAAATCCCCTACTGAACAAGAGTGGATTAATATCAGCCACCAGTTTTCAAATAGATGGAATTTTCCACATACACTTGGGGCCATTGATGGAAAACATGTTCACATTCAATGCCCATTGAATAGTGGGTCATTGTATTATAATTATAAAAACCACTTTAGCATTATCTTACTAGCATGCTGTGATGCTGATTATAAATTTATTTGGGCAGATATTGGTGCGTATGGCTCTGAACATGATGCTAGTGTATTTCGGAGATCTCAGATGGGAAAACAGTTAGATGAAGGATCAGTTCAGTTGCCAAAGGTAGATCAATTGCCAAGTAGCAATGTTGAAATGCCCTATTTTTTTGTTGGCGACGAAGCTTTCCCTTTGAAACCATATCTAATGAGGCCATATCCAGGGAGGCAACTAACCGAACAGAAATCAGTTTTCAACTACAGGTAGGTATGTGGAAACAGCACAAAATGAATATTTCTGACAAATTTTGTTGCAGATTATCACGAGCAAGACGTGTCATAGAAAATAGTTTTGGGATACTTGCAAGTAGATGGAGAGTTTATCGCTCTCCTCTGCTATGCTCCATAAAAACAACAGAGGCTGTGGTAAAAGCTACAATATGCCTACATAATTATTTGAAAACTGAGGCACCAACGACATATGTACCACCTACATTAATAGACTCCTTGAAGGGATGGTGAATGGAGAGAAATCATCCAAAATGACACCAACTTGACACCAATTGGCAGAGTGGGAGCAAATATATCAGCCAGTGCAACTATGGCTTTGAGAGACAAGCTAGCAGAATATTTGATATCAGATGCTGGAGCAGTGTCATGGCAAATGGCATATGTTAACAGAGGAAGATTTTGAAATATGCTAGCATACTGTCTATTGTATGGAAATTAAAAGCATAGTAGTATTTTTTAGTATCAATTTTTATAAATAAAAGTAGCAAGTATACATTTTTGTATATTTTATTCCTACACATTAAAAGAATGACATAAAATATTTCAGACATCTTCATTCTCAATATATTTAACTACTAACTCCATGACTTCTTTTTTAAATTTAATTTTTTTTCTTCAGTGGCAGATGTTGCATGTCATCGAGAATGGACTTCATAAAATGTGTGTCACTGTTTTCAGTATTTTCACCAAATCTTTTCTCACATATTTTTGAAAAATTTTGTAAAGCTGTGGCCATTGACTCCTGCATGCTGTTTTTGTGTCCACATGCACTATCAGGTCTGGATGAATGTGAGCTGGTAGGTCTAGACTGGGTAGGCTCAGGTGACAATACACCATCTGATCCCACAACATAATCATCTAGTAATGGTTCAGACTCAACCTCCTCAATGTATGGCACTTTTGAAGCACTTTCTGGGGCAGTCGAGGATATCAGCCTGAAATATAATAGAGTTGTCTTAACATACAAAGAGGACTGGTATATTCATAAAAATCAAAAACAAATAGTTCATTCCACCTGACCATTATAAACTTCAGGTGTAATTTTTATTGAAGTACTTATAAATGAAGGTTTAATAATTGGGTGACAAAAAGTACACACTGAACTCTCAGCTCCAGCCTACAATGGGTGGCACTATGTAGACCTCAAAATGATTCAATTACACTGTATGACTTACTTTCTCTTCCTGATGAATGGTATTAACCACATCATTATTTCAAAGTATGGGCTCGAACAAACCTGTCTCTCAGGTTGTCCCACCTCTTTTTCACTATGGCTGCTGCAAAAGAGTTAAATCTGTTATGAAGTTTTATCATGTATTGTTGAATTATAAATTCTGTGCACTAACATAAACCAGCGTATAATGAGTTAATACAAAATGACTAAGAGCTTCAATTTACGCTATTTAAATGGAATCTTGTAATACCATTATGAGTGGAAAGCTAAAAGATTTTTCGCATTTGTTCACATTATAAACAAAAAATGTATAATCGTATCGCTAAGGACGCTAAGCACCACATGTTCATACTTACGTTCCGAATCGAGAAACTCTGCTATTGATAGCCAACTATTATCTTTCATTTTATCATCTTTGTATTCCTTCAACGTTTTATTGTAAATGTGTGGGCACTTTTCCACTAATTGAATCAATAATTCATTCATAATGAAATCGTAGCGTTAGCGTTACTACTCCAAACAAAGACCAAAATAAACAAAACTCAATTTTTAGGTTAATACTGTAATGCGCATGTTCTGGTTCTGAGCATTCTGATTGGCTCCGAGAAGGCGACGGAACGGGAAAGTTGAATCTTGGCCAACTCTTCCGTTTTCGTTCCCGTTACCGTTGCCGTTTCCGTTTGTTGTGCATGTATGTATTGGATAATATGTAATTGAACTTTTCTCTCGTTTCCGTTTCCGTTCTCGTTCCCGTTCCCGGGCAATTGTGCAGTAGCCTTAAGACAGGCTTCAAGATCCTGATATTAGTGACAGATGACACGTTATGACAGCTGTCAGTCAGTTAAGTAAAAAATTTTAAATTTATTTCCTTTTAACATTGTCCTGTAAGAAGACAATGACCTTAAATCATGACACAATTATTACATGTATTTTAAAAAATAAGTATATTCACTTACCTTCATCACTACATCAAATAAAAAATAGGAATGAGTCATCACAGATCAAACATTTTCGCAGTGCCTCACATCCAGGCGCTGATTTGTATTTTCTATTGACATCGCAAAATAAGTTTTCATAAAACTGAAACGATTGGAAATAAAAAAATAATGTAATAACCTTTTCACTCTCATAAATATTCCTGTCTGTAGAGTATCTTCTCACCTGTTACTTCACCGACCCACGATTTTCTATTCTTATCTCTCACAGTTTTTGATTCAGCAAACTTGCATAATATAATTTACAGGTTGAATAATGAAAAGTGGATGCGCAACTAATTTCAACTTTTGAATACATCTCAAGCAAGTCTATTTGAGACAAGAAACCAATGGAATTACAATTAACACATATTATTAGCACGCAAATCCTCACTATGTACCTATGCACAGCCTTTTCCTTCCAAATCTCCAAATGTAGTCTATTCTATAGTATAAAACTTACAGTACAGCTTAGATCTAGAATATAATGCCATCTCTGAAGCACTAGATTCATCACATCATAGCCAAACTCACAGGTCATGACGTTTAGGCAACACGTACAACTCAAACGAGTTCCCTTCTAGTGTGAATCGCTAGTACTAAGTCAACGTCTTGGCGAAAAACTTGCATAATGTCAAAAAAAATCGGTATAATGTCACTTTTAAAGTTACGTGATACCCGTGCGGGGCACTAAAGGAATACCAGCTAAAAACCAGATAAATAAAAAATCGATTTCAACACTTAGGGAATAGATGTCCCCGATAAATTGTGTCTCAACGAATTACTCACATATTGGGACAACTTATGAGCTGGTTCAAATTTACTGAGCGAACTTCCGAAGGGGTAGCAGCCAAAAACCAGATATTTAAAAAACCAATTTCAACCCTCAGGGAACAGGTGTCCTCGGTTAAATGTACTATATATCGAAAAATTACTCATATATTAGTTCAATAATGAGCCTCATCAAATTTACTGAGCGAACTTCTAAAGAGGTAGCAGCAATAACCAGATATTCAGAAACTCTCCTTCAACCTTTAGGGAATGGGTGTCCTCGATAATGTGAACCTCGAAATATTACTTATACAGGGTGGTTTTCTAATCTGGAGTACTGAATTTTGTATCGAATAAACCTACATACCTCGGCTTTAACCTTATTTGTTACTTTTTCGAATTTCCATTTTTGCTCATACAGGGTGGTCAAAAACGCAAATTGTACTTTTTCTAAAAAATTTCAAATGCATCACCCTTTATATTTGTGCAAGTTTGGAGTCAATTTTATATAAGCTTTTTTTTTGGTGTAAGGTTTGATTCAGATAAAATCACTAGTTTTTGAGCTATTAAGCTTTTAGTAGAACAACACACCAAAATTAAGGAAAAAAATCACATCAGCCATGGAAACAGTGGGCTAGTTCCATATTGCCACTATGAGTACAGATTTGACGTAAAAACTAATAAAAATCCGAACAGTATAAATCAGCTCCAAGCGTTATACAGAAAAACAACTATAACAATAACATAAACAAACAACTATCACTACTCAAGACCTAATCTACAAAAACTGCTCGAAAATATCTCCATCATGTTGAATACACAGCCGTAATCTTTGGATACTCGTAAATGACCGTTGCACATCCCTCAGCATGTGTCCCTTATGTTCAGAAAAGCATCCTTAATGCTTTCCTTCATATTTTCCGGTGTAGATGGTGGATATCTATAAACCTCTTGCTTAACGTAGCCCCATAGAAAGAGGTCCATCGGCGTCATATCTGCTGACCTAGGAGGCCAAGATATAGACCCATCACGACCGATCCAACGATTGTTACTCCAGGTGTACAAATAGTTACGCACTCGATTATGATAATGCGCAGGTGCGCCGTCATGTTGGAAGTACATATGCATCCGAGCTTGCAGGTTGACATCTTTCAAAGGCAAAGGCAAATGCTCGATCAAAAAATTCAAGTAGTCTGTACCTGTTAATCTGTTGTCGAAAAAGAAAGGCCCGATAACTCGTCTGCCAATACCTCCTTTTCGCCGCCGCCGGTCGGGGCGGGCGGCGAAAACGAAATAGTGGTAACGTTGGTGTCTTCGATCTCACATTTGATGATGACTCCTCATTGAATCAAACGGAAGATATAGTGCAACATATATTTTCTAATAGCTCCCCCGCCAGCATGGACCACAGTACTTCCCAACAAGATGACCATATTTCTCCCCAACAATTTAATCCTAAATGTGATAAGTACCATCATGACAATGTTTATGTATTTATTGAAAAAATCAACTCGGAGAATCTCGGTAGGTTACATCCTCTATACGTAGATCATATACTGCATAAAAAGTTGGGTTTGAGTAGCATAATAACAACAATTAGTCGTGTTGGAGTTAATGGGGTAAAGGTTGGTACTAGGTCAATCTCTCAAGCAAATAGCCTGGTCCTAAACCCCAAACTGAAACGAAAATATGGAGGCATTTATCCCGATAACTTATTACACCGTAAAGGCTTAATCAGAGGTGTTGATACATACTTTGATGATGCATACCAGAGAGACAGTATAGTTTCACAGAACGCCATTCTCGACATAAAAAGGTTGAACAGAAAAATATCTGAAAATGGTGAACAAAAAAAATTGATCCCCAGGCAGGTGGTTGTGATTACCTTTGAGGGCAATGTTCTGCCTAGGGAAGTGAATATTAACAGTGTCATATTTTCTGTCGAGCCCTTTGTTCAAAGGGTAATTCAGTACTACAAGTGCCTCAGATTTGGTTGTCTAGCTATTGTCGCAGCGCACAACCGCGCTGCGTTATATGTGGTCAAAACAATTCTGAAAATCTCGATTGTGACGGAATTATTCATGTGTTAAGACAATTTATGGACAGGTGGTATAAACTGAGCGAAACTTTTAAAGGAGTGGCAGCCGAAAACCAGATATTTAGCAAAATCAATTTCAACCCTTAGGCCTTAGGGAATATGTGTCCTCGATGAAATGTAGCTTGAAAATTGTTCATATATTAAGACAATGTATGGGACAGATCAAATTTACTGTACAAACTTCTAGAGGAGTAGCAGCCAAAATCCAGATAACTAGAAAATTGGTTTCAACCGTTAGGCAATGAGTGTCCTCGATGAAATGTATTTCGAAGAATCATTCATATAATAAGACAATTTATGGGTCGGATCAAATTTACTGAGCGAACTCCTAAAGGAGTGGCAGCAAAATCAAGATATAAACACGATTTTATCCCTTAAGGAATGTTTGTACTCGATTAAATAGGTCTACAACAATTATTCATAGATTAAGACAATTTATGAAACAGACCAAATTTACTGAGCAAACTGATAAAGGGGCAGCAGCCGAAAATCAGGTAATTAAAAAAATCAATGTCAACCCTTAGGGAAGATGTCATCGATGAAATATATCTCGGAAAGTTACTCATATGTTGAGACAATTTGTGGGCCAGCTATATATAAATATATAAATATTTCTCCTGGAGCGATGCGTGAGTAACGACACCACCGTAGACCAGCTGAAATTTGTTACCCGTTTCGAGTTATGGGCACATTATACATCTGACTGTTATCATTCAATTTTCCCGTTGTTACCGGTATCAGAAGCTTCTTAATTTTAGAACGAATTACACTATTACTGAATATGTTACACTTACAACCCCTAGCCCCTACAGCCTTCAAATCCCAAGTTTCAACACCTACCAAAAAATTTTAGAAAATAATCAGGAGCCTCTGGAACGGTAAAAAAGGTTTAAGCGACTTTATTCTTTTTTTTCTTGTTTTTGCCCCTAGCTCCGCCACCACCAGATCGATTTTTAAAAACTACAAAGCTTTTTTATTCTAGGCATAGTAGTAACCTTGTGCGAAAATTTCATCAACACCCGAGCGGTACTTCTTACGTTATAGGTGGTTATAGCATTAGCCGGCAGACCGACAGACCGATAGACAGACGGAAATGAATAACATAGCTTTTCGTCATGTAAATGGCACACAAGCATCTTCCAATGGGCGGCTCCCTTGTAAAGCAGAGGAAAGCTAATTTTCTTTGCAAGAGACGCAATTCGACGTCGCTGGCTACTGCCAAAGTAACGATTTCTAGCTTGATGTACGCTGATGTGAAAAAGGTGTCATGAGAAGGAAGCGCGCACTTTCTGAGCGTATATTTTATGGGACTGATTTGGAGAACTAAGCGTGGCCTTAATAGAAAGTACGAAAAACAGTATATTTCCAAGGACTGGCTTTTAGGAACTGGAACGGTAGCTTTTCGAGCCAGCAGGAAACTGAAGACGTAGTGATGGATGATATCCTGAGAATTCCAAACCTATTTTTCGCCTTAATATTTGATGGCGATTGGTCGAGTGAGCGTGACGAGACATTATTCCTTAAAATGAGAACTCTCGTTACATCTTTTCTGACGATGTAACGTATAATCTATGGTAACATACTACTGTAATATATCCTAGCGAAAATAGATCACAAGATCCTCTGTGGTAGTTTGTTAATGTTACAAGACCCGTAACGAGGTATCAACATCTACACGATGAAATTGTAATTTTTGCATACTAAGTTATCCTGAAAACAAGGGGCAGCAGTCTGGCTGGACTATCGTCACGTT